TCCTTGTATCCCTGGGATAAATCCTACTTGATCATAGTGTATGATCCCATGATCCTTTTAATGTATTGTTGGATTTGGTTTGCTAATACCTTCTTGAGGATTTTTGCATCTATATTTATCAGTGATATTGGCCTGTAATTTTCTTTTTTTGTGATATCTTTGTCTGGTTTTGGTATCAGGATGATGGTGGCTTCATAGAATGGGTTTGGAAGTGTTCCTTCCTCTGCAATTTTTTTGGAATAGTTTAAGAAGGATAGATGTTGTTAACTCTTTAAATGTTTGATAGAACTCACCTGTGAAGCCATCTGATCCTGGACTTTTGTTTGTTGGGAATTTTAAAATTACTGATTCAATTTCATTACTGGTGATTGACCTGTTCATATTTTCTGTTTCTTCCTGGTTCAGTCTTGGAAAATTATACTTTTCTAAGAATTTGTCCATTTCTTCCAGGTTGTCCATTTTATTGGTATATAGTTGTTCATAGTAGTCTCTTATGATCCTTTTTACTTCTGTGGTGTTGGTTGTAACTTCTTTTTCATTTCTGATTTTATTGATTTGGGCCTTCTGCCTTTTTTTCTTGATGAGTGTAGCTAAAGGTTTATCCATTGTGTTTATCTTTTCAAAGAACCAGCTTTTAGTTTCATTGATCCTTTCTATTGTTTTTTTAGTTGTAATTTTCTAATGAACTCTACTGTGTGGTAAAACTATGAATCATGATTTTCAGTAAATTCTACTACCAGTTCATATATAAGTTCTAGAATGTGAGCTATAACAAAGTTTAACTCTCCAGCCTCAAGTGTGCAAACACTTTTTAGTATGCACTTAGAAATGCTTGCCTGAATATGTGATTTCTAAAATAGAAGGTGATATATCCTTTATACATTTATATATTCCACTTTATTATCTCTTTCTCTAGAACATCAATTCACAAGGACAGTTCATAATTAGTTAGCCCCTCTTTTTGACTTGACCTTAGGTGACTATATTTTCTCTAAATACTTACTTGCTGTTGTCAGCTATGGAAAGTTGGGTTTAGGGTCGAATTTCCTCCTCACATTCAGAAACTATCCCAGGACCAGTTTTTCATTTTTCCTCTGCATTGTCACTAATATTTGACAAGGGAGCCAAGAAGACTTAATGGGGAAAGGAGAGTCTTCTCCATAAGTAGTGTTGGGAAAACTGTTTAACCACGTGAAGAAGAATGAAACTGGACCCCTATCTTATACTATTTTTAAAAAAGTAACTCAAAATGAATTAAACATTTATGTAAGACCCAAAACTATAAAACTCATAGAAGAAAACATAGGGGGAAAATCTCCTTGACATTGGCTTTGGGAAAGACTTTTGGACATGACACCAGAAGCACAAGCAATGAAAGCAAAAATAAAGTGGAAGTACATCAAACTAAAAAGCTTCTGCACAACAAAAGAAATAATCAGCATTAAAAGGCAACCTATGGAATGAGAGAAAATATTTGCAAACCATCTATCTGAAAAGGAGTTAATATCCAAAATATGTAAGGAACTCATACAACTCAATAGCAAAAAACCAAACAATTCCATTTTTAAATGGCAAAGTATTTAAAGACACTTTTCCAAAAAGAGAGACACAAATGGCCAACACATACATGAAAATATGCACGACTTCACTATCAGCAAAATGGCAGTCAAACATATATAAAGAACTCTAGGGCTTCCCTGGTGGCACAGTGGTTGAGAGTCTGCCTGCTGATGCAGGGGACGCGGGTTTGTGCCCCGGTCCGGGAGGATCCCACATGCCGCGGAGCGGCTGGGCCCGTGAGCCATGGCCGCTGAGCCTGCGCGTCCGGAGCCTGAGCTCCACAACGGGAGAGGCCACAGCAGTGAGAGGCCCGCGTACCGCAAAAAAAAAAAAATATATATATATATATATATATATATATATATATAAAGAACTCTTAAATTCCTAAATGTAGACTATGGTATATTTAAAATGTTAGTATATGTTACCAGGTTCTTTTCCAGAAAGATGTACCAAAGTACTATCCCATTAATTTTGCCTATCCTGGGAATTACTGTTATTTTTAATCTTTGTCAGTTCGACTGATTGAAAACAATACTGTTTTGTTGCTTAATTTAAATTTCTCTATTTCTAAGGTTGAGAAACTTGTTTATGAGCTGGTCTTCTGTCTCCAAAATTAACTCTAAACAGAGTTAATAAAGTACCCACTAAAGTGAAAGTTCTAGTTGAATTATTTATTTAGCAGGTAGAAGTTAGAGAGAACAGTGTTCCAAAGATCATGTAATTGTAGAGTTGAAAGGGACCTTAGAGATCTTCTAGCTTAATTTTGAGTAATCCTATGGTATGATTTGTTCCCTGTCCAAAAAGCAGTGACCTGAATGCTACTAAAACTAGAGGACTTAGATTAAACACTAGTGAGTTAAGGAAGAGAAGCAGCAAATGGGAAGAAAGTCTAAACTGAGTAGGAATGAGCATGACAACAAAGTTGAGGGAAGAGAACAGAGGAAAAGGTTAGTACCACTCTATAGGTGACTATTGGTAAGTCCTGCCAAGAAGGGAATTGGTGGGTACAGTGGCAAGGGCACTGGGTCCCAGGGGCCGTCAGATGGGAGACTGACTTCTCTAGATCAGGGCAAGTAGACCCTGCTGCTGACCCTGCTGCCAGCAACAAATGTGCTGGAAGCTGAATGCAGACAGACAGACAAATGTTGGTGTCCTAAGGATAAGTCAAGAAAGCACATACCCTAACAGAGACAGGACTCACATTCTCCTATGGGGGAGGTACAAAACAGCAGCCCACAGTAACTCTACAAAGTGGAATTCAACCAACACTGCTATGTTTGGAAGGATAATTTTTGGTGGTTGTATATTTGAGGCCAGAGAGGGGGGTTCACCTCCTAGATCCTTGGATGGTCAGAGTTGCTTCCCAAGGAAGCCTGGCAGATAACCTGACTTTTTTTTAAAAGATTCTTTATAATATCTGTGTTGCGAAATTTCTAGACTTTGGTGGGTATTTAAAGCTGCTTGTTTCAGCTTCATATGCTAGACAGGGATTCTTTTCTCTTGAACTTTAATAATAGTATAGGTACTCCTGTACCAACTTTGAGTTGAGTATATGCTAAGCCTAACATTCTTCTTGCTCTTTGATCACTGACAGAGAAGTGGGTACTTCTGCAAGGAAAAGATTGTTGTTCTAGGGTGTGAGGACAGAGCTATAAACCATAGTTCTTCAGTTAGATGGTAACGGCCCATAGGGCTTACTTCTTCTAGATGTATTGGTCCTACCCAATCACAGTGAAACCAGCAGAGTGGGGTTACCCCCCAGTAGCCAAGTGGGGCTAACCCCCAATAGCCAGGTGGTTCTGAGTGAGAGGGCTGGAAAGTTGACCTCTGACAGGTGGGCAGACCCTGTAACCCTCCCCTAGAGCCCTGCTGTAAGCTTCGACTGGCTAGGCAGGATCCAGAGATAAGAGTACCTCTAGGGAACACAGTGCAGCTTGGGGCTTGACAAAATGCCTGCCACTTTTGCTCCATCCTGGGAGTGACCTTGAAGACTATTGATGTTGCTGGGAGTTGTCAATGTCCTCCAGTCAAAGAGCACCCGGAACACCCCTGCAGTTTAGCATTTGGGTTTATTGCTCCTAGAAAGGGGGAGACAGCATCCCATGGCATGTGTCTCAGTAACCATGGGGGTTTGAAAAGACTTACTATAGGATCTGGGCTCTAGTTAGTTCATTTTAAGGCAAGCTTAAGGAGGCAAGAGCTTGCTTTGGACTGGAGGCTGTCGGGAAGCAGGGGCAATTCTGTGACTGGGGATCTTAATGAACCTTATCTAGAAGGAGGGAGGACTAGAGTAAAGCTAAAGCCGTAATTGGTAAAGAAGCAGCAGTCACTTCTGCTGGCCAGGCTAGGGCATATTTGGGTGGTCATTTTTGTGGTCTGGACAGTGTTTTTGTCTGTGTTCAGACATGATTACAGAGTGGACTTGTTTCTGTCTTGATCCATCCTGGTCTCAGGGGCCTTGTCTGATGTTTGTTCTGTGAAATTATGTTTGACCGGAGAACACCAAGGCCAGCTGTGAGTGCCCACCATCAGGGGCTTCTCACACCCTTCTCCCAGTCAATCTGCAGTGGGGAGTGGAGTTCTTAAAGATCACTTGGGGTGATAGAAGAATGGGACTGTGGCTGGAAGGAGTGCCAGAGGGCTGTGCAGGGGGAGGAATGGCAGAAAGTCACGGACAGGCAGCAGCCTGCATCCAGGAGCCAGAGGATGTGCGGGGTGGGCACACAGAAAGCACACTTCCATGAGTGAGCTTGAGCCAGTAATGGAGAGCTCAGATGAAGCAGGAAGGCTCTGGTATGGAAGATTCTGAGAGAACCAGGAGAAGCTAGGGAAGGAAGGAATTCTTAGGCCGGTATACTAAGGATCAGGCTTCTCCCGTTGTGGAGCACAGGCCCCGGACACGCAGACTCAGCGGCCATGGCTCACGGGCCCAGCTGCTCCGCGGCAGGTGGGATCTTCCCGGACCAGGGCACGAACCCGTGTCCCCTGCATCGGCAGGCAGACCCCCAACCACTGCGCCACCAGGGAAGCCCCAAGATCAGGGTTCTTAGGATAGCTGAATTGGAGCAATCAGTTCAATAGAAGTGTATCATTGATTTGAACATGGAGGCTTGAGCCTTCCGGCCTGCTCTTTTATATCCTGGAAAGTGTGGACTGCAAACCATTGAATGCTTTAAAAGATGTACTTTTATTACTTGATTGGTTTCAAAAACTTAATCTCCATTAGCCAGCACATTAATTGTGAACTAGGTTTATCACTCAGACCAGAAAATAAAACTAGTTGGTAATAATATCTTGGGTAGGGCGTAAGATTGCCAGATTTAGGAAAATATTAGAAATACACACACACACATACACACACACATACACATATTTATAGATAGATAAGTATAGGTATAGACATAGAAATAGATCTCCAGTTAAAATTTGTATTTCAGATAAACAATGAACGTGGAATACTTAGGAATACTGAGGAGCTTCAAGATGGCGGAAGGGTAAGACGCGGAGATCACCTTCCTCTCCACAAATACATCAGAAATACATCTACACGTGGAACAACTCCTAAAGAACACCTACTGAACGCTGGCAGAAGACCTCAGACCTCCCAAAAGGCAAGAAACTCCCCACATACCTGGGTAGGGCTAAAGAAAACAAGAAAAAACAGAGACAAAAGAATAGGGACGGGACCTGCAGCAGTGGGAGGGAGCTGTGAAGGAGGAAAAGTTTCCACACACTAGGAAGCCCCTTTGCGGACGGAGAATGCGGGTGGCGGAGGGGGAAAGCTTCGGAGCCGCGGAGGAGAGCACAGCAACAGGAGTGCGGGGGGCAAAGCTGGACCGACGGGCACTCACCAGCCCGAGACGCTTGTCTGCTCCCCCGCCGGGGCAGGCGGGGCTGGGAGCTGAGGCTCGGGCTTTGGTCGGAGTGCAGGGAGAGGGCTGGGGTTGCCGGCATGAACACAGCCTGAAGTGGGTTAGTGCACCACGGCTAGCCAGGAGGGAGTCCGGGAAAAAAGTCTGTAGCTGCCTAAGAGACAAGAGACTTTCTCTTGTCTCTGTTTCCTGGTGCGCGAGGAGAGGGGATTAAGAGCGCCGCTTAAAGGAGCTCCAAAGACAGCTGCGAGCCACAGCTATCAGCGCGGACCCCAGAGATGGGCATGACACGCTAAGGCTGCTGCTGCCGCCACCAAGAAGCCTGTGTGCGAGCACAGGTTACTCTCCACACCCCCTTCCGAGGAACCTGTGCAGCCCGCCACTGCCAGGGTCCCGGGATCCAGGGACAACTTCCCCGGGAGAGCACACGGCGCGCCTCAGGCTAGTGCAACGTCACGCTGGCCTCTGCCGCCGCAGGCTTGCCCCACATCCGTACCCCTCCCTGCCCCCGGCGTGAGTGAGCCAGAGTCCCCGAATCAGCTGCTCCTTTAACCCCGTCCTGTCTGAGTGAAGAACAGATGCCCTCAGGCGACCTACTCGCAGAGGCGGGGCCAAATCCAAAGCTGAACCCCAGGAGCTGTGCAAACAAAGAAGAGAAAGGGAAATTTCTCTCAGCAGCCTCAGGAGCAGCAGATTAAAGCTCCACCATCAACTTGATGTACCCTGCATCTGTGGAATACCTGAATAGACAACGAATCATCCCAAATTGAGGAGGTGGACTTTGGGAGCAAGATTTATGATTTTTCCCCCTTTTCCTCTTTTTGTGAGTGTGTATGTGTATGCTTCTGTGTGTGATTTTTGTCTGTATAGCTTTGCTTTTACCATTTGTCCTAGGGTTGTGTCTGTCCGTTTTTTTTTGTTTGTTTGTTTTGTTTTTTACTTAAAAAATTTTTTTCTTAATAATTATTTTTTATTTTAATAACTTTATTTTATTTTATTTTATCTTCTTCTTTCTTACTTACTTTCTTTTTTTTTCTCCCTTTAATTCTGAGCCATGTGGAGGACAGGTTCTTGGTTCTCCAGCCAGGCATCAGGGCTGTGCCACTGAGGTGGGAGAGCCAAGTTCAGGACGCTGGGCCACAAGAGACCTCCCAGCTCCACGTAATATCAAACAGCGAAAATCTCCCAGAGATCTCCATCTCAACACCAAAACCCAGCTCCACTCAACAACCATCAAGCTACAGTGCAGGACACCCTATGCCAGACAACTAGCAAGACAGTAACACAACCCCACCCATTAGCACAGAGGCTGCTTAAAACCATAACAAGGCCACAGACACCCCAAAACACACCACCAGACATGGACCTGCCCACCAGAAAGACAAGATCCAGCCTCATCCACCAGAACACAGGCACTAGTCCCTCCACCAGGAAGCCTACACAGCCCACTGAACCCACCTTAGCCACTGGGGACAGACACCAAAAACAATGGAAACTATGAACCTGCATCCTGTGAAAAGAAGACCCCAAACACAGTAAGTTAAGCAAAATGAGAAGACAGAGAAACAGCAGATGAAGTAGTGAGGCAAACATCCACCAGACCTAACAAATGAAGAGGAAATAGGCAGTCTACCTGAAAAACAATTCAGAATAATGATAGTAAAGATGATCCCAAATCTTGGAAATAGAATGGAGAAAATACAAGAAACTTTTAACAACGACCTAGAAGAACTAAAGAGGAAACAAACAGAGATGAACAACACAATAAATTAAGTTAAAAATTCTCTATAAGGAATCAACAGCAGAATAACTGAGGCAGAAGAACGGATAAGTGACCTGGAAGATAAAATAGTGGAAATAACTACTGCAGAGCAGAATAAAGAAAAAAGAATGAAAAGAATTGAGGACAGTCTCAGAGAATCTCTGAGACAACATTAAATGCACCAACATTTGAATTATAGGGGTCCCAGAAGAAGAAGAGAAGAAGAAAGGGACTGAGAAAATATTTGAAGAGATTATAGTTGAAAACTTCCCTAATATGGGAAAGGAAATAGTTAATCAAGTCCAGGAAGCACAGCAAGTCCCATACAGGATAAATCCAAGGAGAAACACGCCAAGACACATATTAATAAAATTATCAAAAACACAACGACCCAAAACCTATGGGATGCAGCAAAAGCAGTTCTAAGAGGGAAGTTTGTAGCAATACAATCCTACCTTAAGAAACAAGGAACATCTGAAATAAACAACCTAACCTTTCACCTAAAGCAATTAAAGAAAGAAGAACAAAAAAACCCCAATGTTAGCAGAAGGAAAGAAATCATAAAGATCAGATCAGACATAAATGAAAAAGAAATGAAGAAAACGATAGCAAAGATCAATAAAACTAAAAGTTGGTTCTTTGAGAAGATAAACAAAATTGATAAACCATTAGCCAAACTTATCAAGAAAAAAAGGGAGAAGACTCAAATCAATAGAATTAGAAATGAAAAAGGAGAAGTAACAACTGACACTGCAGACATACAAAGGATCATGAGAGATTACTACAAGCAACTGTATGCCAATAAAACGGACAACCTGGAAGAAATGGAAAAATTCTTAGAAATGCACAACCTTCCGAGACTGAACCAGGAAGAAATAGAAAATATGAACACACCAATCACAAGCACTGAAATTGAAACTGTGATTAAAAATCTTCCAACAAACAAAAGCCCAGGACCAGATGGCTTCCCAGGCGAATTCTATCAAACATTTAGAAAAGAGCTAACACCTATCCTTCTCAAACTCTTCCAAAATATAGCAGAGGGAGGAACACTCCCAAACTCATTCTACGAGGCCACCATCACTCTGATACCAAAACCAGACAAAGATGTCACAAAGAAAGAAAACTACAGGGCAATATCACTAATGAACATAGATGCAAAAATCCTCAACAAAATACTAGCAGACAGAATCCAACAGCACATTAAAAGGATCATACACCATGATCAAGTGGGGTTTATCCCAGGAATGCAAGGATTCTTCAATTTACACAAATCAACGTGATACACCATATTAACAAACTGAAGGAGAAAAACCATATGATCATCTCAATAGATGCAGAAAAAGCTTTCGACAAAATTCAACACCCATTTATGATAAAAACCCTGCAGAAAGTAGGCATAGAGGGAACTTTCCTCTACATAATAAAGGCCATCTATAACAAACCCACAGCCAACATCATCCTCAATGGTGAAAAACTGAAACCATTTCCACCAAGATCAGGAACAAGACAAGGTTGCCCACTCTCACCACTATTATTGAACATAGTTTTGGAAGTTTTAGCCACAGCAATCAGAGAAGAAAAAGAAATAAAAGGAATCCAAATCAGAAAAGAAGAAGTAAAGTTGTCACTGTTTGCAGATGACATGATCCTATACATAGAGAATCCTAAAGATGCTACCAGAAAACTACTAGAGCTAATCAATGAATTTGGTAAAGTAGCAGGATAAAAGATTAATGCACAGAAATCTCTTGCATTCCTATACACTAATGATGAAAAATCTGAAAGTGAAATTAAGAAAACACTCTAATTTACCGTTGCAAGAAAAAGAATAATATACATAGGAATAAACCTACCTAAGGAGACAAAAGTCCTGTATGCAGAAAACTATAAGACACTGATAAAAGAAATTAAAAATGATACAAATACATGGAGAGATATACCATGTTCTTGAAGTGGAAGAATCAACATTGTGAAAATGACTCTACTACCCAAAGCAATCTACAGATTCAATGCAATCCCTATCAAACTACCACTGGCAGTTTTCACAGAAGTAGAACAAAAAATTTCACAATTTGAATGGAAACACAAAAGACCCCGAATAGCCAAAGCAATCCTGAGGAAGAAAAACGGAGCTGGAGGAATCAGGCTCCCTGACTTCAGACTATACTACAAAGCTACAGTAATCAGGACAATATGGTACTGGCACAAAAACAGAAATATAGATCAGTGGAACAGGACAGAAAGTCCACAGATAATCCCACAGACATATGATCACCTTATCTTTGATAAAGGAGGCAAGAATATACAGTGGAGAAAAGACAGCCTCTTCAATAAGTGATGCTGGGAAAACTGGACAGCTACATGTAAAAGAATGAAATTAGAACACTCCCTAACACTATACGCAACAATAAACTTAAAATGGATTAAAGACCTAAATGTAAGGCCAGACAATATCAAACTCTTAGAGGAAAACATAGGCAGAACACTCTATGACATACATCACAGCAAGATCCTTTTTGACCCACCTCCTAGAGAAATGGAAATAAAAACAAAAATAAACAAATGGGACCTAATGAAACTTAAAAGCTTTTTCTCAGCAAAGGAAACCATAAACAAGACGAAAAGACAACCTTCAAAACGGGAGCGAATATTTGCAAATGAAGCAGCTGACAAAGGATTAATCTCCAAAACATACAAGCAACTCATGCAGCTCAATATCAAAAAAACAAACAACCCGATCCAAAAATGGGCAGAAGACCTAAATAGACATTTCTCCAAAGAAGATATACAGATCGCCAACAAACATATGAAAGGATGCTCAACATCACTAATCATTAGAGAAATGCAAATCAAAACTACAATGAGATATCATCTCACACCAGTCAGAATGGCCATCATCAAAAAAATCTACAAACAATACATGCTGGAGAGGGTGTGGAGAAAAGGGAACCCTCTTGCACTGTTGGTGGGAATGTAAATTGATACAGCCACTATGGAGAACAGTATGGAGGTTCCTTAAAAAACTATAAATAGAACTACCATATGACCCAGCAATCCCACTACTGGGCATATACCCTGAGAAAACCATAATTCAAAAAGAGTCATATACCAAAATATTCATAGCAGCTCTATTTACAATAGCCAGGACATGGAAGCAGCCTAAGTGTCCATCAACAGATGAATGGGTAAAGAAGATGTGGCACATATACACAATGGAATATTACTCAGCTGTAAAAAGGAATGAAACTGAGTTATTTGTAGTGAGGTGGATGGGCCTAGACACTGTCATACAGAGTGAAGTAAGTCAGAATGAGAAAAACAAATACCGTATGCTAACACATATATATGGAATCTAGAAAAAAAAAGTGGTCAGAAGAACCTAGGGGCAAGATGGGAATGAAGGTGCAGACCTGCTAGAGAAAGGACTTGAGGATATGGGAGGGGGAAGGGTAATTTGGGACAAAGTGAGAGAGTGGCATGGACATATGTACACTACCAAATGTAAAATAAATAGCTAGTGGGAAACAGCTGCATAGCAGAGGGAGATCAGCTCAGGGCTTTGTGACCACCTAGAGGGGTGGGATAGGGAGGGTGGGATGGAGGGAGATGCAAGAGGGAAGAGATATAGGGATATATTTATATGTATAACTGATTCACTTTGATATAAAGCAGAAACTAACACACCATTGTAAAGCAATTATACTCTAATAAAGATGTTAAAAAAAAGGAATACTTATACTAGAATAAAGTATTACTTGTTTATCTGAATTGCAAATTTAACTGTCCTGTGTTTTATCTGGCAACCCTAACGTAGGGAGGTTTGAACTACAAAACAGTTTAGCTTAGAAATGAGTTGGTGTCTGCCCAAATGGAACTAGTTGTGCAGGGCGCTGGCGCCTGACTGAGGGAAGGATTGCCATGTGCCAATCACTGTCTTGACAGAATGGTGTTACCTTAGGACATGGGAATTTTGGATTCAGTAAAGCTAATTAGCCTCATTATTCAGACTTTTTTGACGTTTTATAACTTTCCATCAGTATATTATTCTGATTTTTTTCCCTTAATTTGTTATCAAAGTTGTTTTTGAACAATCCAGTGTATGTTAGCCATGCTAAGGTGCTAAGACATTTATAAAATTAGCCTAGCAAAGTCCCAACTAGGTCTAATAAAAAAGCATTACAATAAAGGTAGGTTTGAATAGAACAAGCAATATGTTACATTCTGGGGTGTAAATAATTAATATATTGAGGAACACAATATCTTTCCTAATTTAGTCATAGATTTAATGCAGTACAATTAAAATATCGATGGAAACCTCTATAGAAAGTAGGAAACTGTTTACAGAAAAATAAATAGTAAGAATTCCAGGAACTATTTTTAGTGGAAAAGCAGTATCTTTTTAAATAGAAAACAAATACGTATTTAAAAAATTTTTATGAACAGAAATAAAGGTTAATGATACAGATAATGTAAAAATAGAACCAAACAATTAAAAGTTTTACATGAGTGGCTGGATTTGACTTTCTTCCTTTTTTACTTCTTTATATCCCCATTCCCATTTCACACTCACACACCCAAATGGAAAGAAATCCTTGGTAAGACTTTGCACTAAAAATTGGCCACAAGAAGTAGTCACCATCTGCAAAGGAAAGCTTTGTCTCATAGATCAGGGGTCCCCAACCCCCGGGGCTGTGGACCAGTATCTGTCCACGGCCTGTTAGGAACCGGGCCGCACAGCAAGAGGTGAGCAGTGGACGAGCAGGCGAAGCTTCCTCTGCCTGCGGCTCCCCATCCCTCCCCATAGCTACATTACCGCCTGAACCATACTCCCCCCCCTCAAAGCCCCGTCCATGGAAAAACTGTCTTCCACGAAACAGGTCCCTGCTGCCAAAAAGGTTGGGGACCACTGTCATAGATGCTTCACTCCCCAGGACCTGAAGGAGTGAAACCGCCTCCCAAGATGCGAAGGCCTTGAGCAGACACTGCTGCGCCGGGGAACACGCAGGACTTCAGAGATCCGACTCCAGCCCTCAAGGATCTGACTCCAGCCCTCAAGGACAGTGCCAGCAAGGAGAAAAATATCAGGACCCTGTGTGCAGGAGAAGGAGCCCCAAGGGAGAAGAAGGAAAGTCCTAGATGTCCATCTGAGGGAGACCCTGGACTGAAAGGTAACTCAATATGAAAAGCAAAGAAAAGTTTTGCTCTACAGACTTGTGCCTCACACACAAGGTAGCGTACAACACCTACTGTTAACACGATAAAAGCAAATCACAGAAGTGTGTATGAGGTGTACGACCTTGTGTGTAAGAAAAGAAGGTAGAGAATATATGTTCATTTTTACTTGTATCTGCTCTGAAAGGATACATAAGAAACTAATAAAAGTGATTACCTGTAGAGGACAGGGCAGATGAGGTGGATAGGGAAAGAGCAGGAGAAAGACTTCAACACAAACTTCTTTAACATTTTATTATGGCAAAATTTCAAATATATATGTATAAAGACTAGTATAATAAACCTACAGGGACTCATTATGCAGCTTCAACAATTATTAATATTTTGTCAATCTTATTTCACTATTTCCTACATATTTTGAAATTTTTAATGGAATTTTGATTATTTTAATTTTTGTTCCATAGTGTATATACCATGTGAAATAAATTCATAACTTTAAAAAGAGATTGGAAGAAAGATGAGATGAGACAAGTTTAGACAATTCCTTTTTAGTTTACTGTAAAGGGAAAGTGAGAATTCAGGATTCGAAATTGTGATCAAGAGTGTTTTCTTGTCATGTTTTTTTATTTTTTTATTATTATTATTATTAATTTTATTTATTTATTTATTTTTGGCTGCTTTGGGTCTTCATTGCTGTGTACCGGCTTTCTCTAGTTGCAGTGAGTGGGGGCTACTCTTCACTGTGGCGCGCAGGCTTCTCATTGCCATGGCTTCTCTTGTTGCAGAGCATGGGCTCTAGGCACGCAGGCTTCAGTAGCTGTGGCATGCGGGCTCAGTAGTTGCGGCACATGGGCTTAGTTGCTCCACGACATGTGGGATCTTCCCAGACCAGGGCTTGAACCCATGTCCCCTGCACTGGCAGGGAGATTCTTAACTACTGTGCCAGCAAGGGAAGTCCCTGTTGTGTTTTTTTAAAAATAGGAGATATAAAAGGCATTTTGTATGCTGCTAGGGAAAAATCCAGTAGAGAGGGAAGTCGAATAATGCAGGTGAGAAAGGTGAGATTTGCTAAAACAGTATTCTAGAGAAGGTGAGAAGAGATGGCATCTGAAACATTGATGAGGCGGGGGGGATTTCCCTAACTAAGAAAACATTTACAAAAGACATGCCTGATAAAAAACTGTTATCCAAACATTAAAGAACTCTTAAAACTCAACAACGTAAAAACAAATAACGCAACTAAAAAATGGACCAAAGACCTTAACAGACACCTCACCAAAGAAGATATACAGATAGCATATAAGCATATGAAAAGATACTCCATATCTTATATCATCAGGGAAAGGTAAATTAAAATGAGAGACCACTACATATGCATATACATTCTACACATGTTAGAATGGCCAAAATCCAGAACACGGACACAGCTAATGCCAAAGAGGATGAGTAGCAATAGGAACTCTCATTTATTGTTGGTGGGAATGCAAAGTACTATAGTACAATCACTTTGCGAGACAGTTGGCTATTTCTTACAAAACTAAACATACTCTTACCATTAGATCCAGCAGTTGTGCTCCTTGATCTCTACCCAAATGAGTTGAAAATGAAAAACCTGCATAAGGATGTTTATGGCAGCTTCATTCACAATTAGCAAAACTTGGAAGCAACCAAGATGTCCTTCAGTAAATGGATAAATAAACTAAGGTACATAGAGACAGTGGAATATTATTTGGTGCTGAAAAGAAATGAGTTATCAAGTCAAGAAAAGTCATGGAGGAAACTTAAATGAGTGTTACTAAGTGAATAAAACCAAAGTGAAAAGACTACACACTGTGTGAGTCCAAGTTTTGGAATCCTGGAAAAGACAGAACTACGGGAACAGTAAAAAGATCAGTGGTTGCTAAGGGGAGGGAGGGATGAATAGGCAAGGCATAGAGGATTTTTAGGGCAGTAAAACTACTCTGTGTGATACTATAATGGTAGCTATACATCACTATACATTTGTCCAAACTCACTGAATGTACAACACCAAGAGTGAACCCTAATATTAACTATGAACTTGGCCTGATAATGATGCATCAGTGTACATTTGTCAGTTGTAACAAATGCATCACTCTCGTGGGGAGTGTTGATAATGCATGCCTCAGGGCAGGGAATATATGAGAATCTCTACCTTCTGTTCAATTTTGCTGTGAACCTAAAACTGTTCTAAAATATAAAGCCTATTAAAAATAAATAGAGAAAGAAGGAATTTGGTATAAATCCATGGGCTAAATCTAGCCTCATTAGGTCCAGGGATGATCATAGTAACAAAAACAAAGATAATATTTTAACAATAATAATAATGAGAACAGGTAACCTTTATTCAGAACTTACTATATGCCAGATTCTAGTCAAAACATTCTTCAGGTAGTAACTCATTTTTAAGGATAGTAACTAACAGCTTGTTACAAAGAGAAACATAAAGAGTAAACCAAGAAAATATTCACATTTTTAGTAAGTAAATAATGCAAATTAAAATAATTTATTAACAGCCAACTGTCTTCCAAAGTGATTGTACTTTATTTCTTTATACTTAATAATGTAGCAAAACCAAATATAATACTAAAACTCTGTTTTGAAGGTGATATGGGGAAATAGGCACTGATAAAAGTAAATGGGGCATTCTTTCTGGCATTGTGTTACAAGAGCAGGGCATATTTAAAAAATAACATAAAATAAAATAAAATATTTAAGTAAGTAATGCTTTAAAAATCATGACATTAAGGACTTCCCTGGCAGTCCAGTGGTTAAGACCCTGTGCTCCCACTGCAGGGGGCATGGGTTTGATCTCTGGTCCCCTGGTCAGGGAACTAAGATGCCACACGGTGTGGGGGAAAAAAAAAAAAATCATGACATTAGATATTCAGTTGTATTCCACAAAAATCAAGATTCTGATGCTGCTAAGCTGTTTAGTATTTTAAAAAATATTTACAGGTTGAACGTAATTCGTATCAACATTAATAAACTAAGAAGACAAGATATATTGGTTTCATATTTTAGTACAGATGCGGATGTAATAAAGAATATTTTGAATGCTGGCAGAGGTTAGAGAGAATATTACTGATGACGTCAGTGAGGGGTAAGAAGTAGTGATGGAGGAAAAATAATTTGAGACAATCAAATCAGCTTTTGTTAATTCTTATTGATGGGACAAAGACCATGAGTAAAAGAAGTTAGCAATACATATTACATTTTTTAAGGAATAACAAGGGAGCCCTTGACCAGGTTTAATTTAACTATTCTATTTAAATTTCCCCACTAGTGATGTATTGATATTTTCATTTATTTTATGCTGAAATGTAATTACTTTAAGGTGACATAACACTGTAAATCTCATTGGTTATTGCGACCTAGTTAATAAGATTCTTTCATGACTGTAGGTATTGATAGACAATAGGTATTAATAGGAAAGAGTATAACGGCATTAAAACCAGAAAGTACAGGTTCAGATAAAACTCCTCTGCCCAGGTGGAGAAATTGTGCAAAAATGCAGAAAGGAGAGGAGACCCCAAGGATTGTGTCTGCTTCATAATTTTTTTCGGACATACTATGGACATGAATTACATCGACAGTCTACAAAGTGTAGCCTAAATTACTAGCAACCAGAACATGTGGTCTGATCAGAGTCTCTGTATCATACTGGGGGAGAGTAGAGATACTGTTAATTTCCTCTTCTAAGTCTATACTACATGTTAACATTTTGAGGGTAACTACTGAAAGAATGAAAATAGGAGATATAACTTCCTAAAAAGTTGAAGGGAGAAAGAGGAACAAAGAAAGTACAATCAATCCAATAAATTGTAAGCCAGTCACATTAAGAAACATAGCTCCTCAAATCCTAAATAAAATGTTACTAAACTGAATCCAACAATGAGGGGAGACAGAAGCAGATCTTGAGGCAAACGATGAATAAAATAATGGTCCACTCATCTTTTTAATATTTACTGAGTGACTCATGCACTGCAGGTGTAACAGGGAACAAAACAGGCAAACACCTCTACTGTCATGAAGCTGACATTCTAATGGAGGAGAAACACAATAAATAAGCAAGTATGCAGTATATCAGATGGAGAAAAATGTGGAGAAATATAAAGCTGCTGTGGGGAGGGGGTAAAGTAATACAGGAGCATGATTGCAGCTGTCCATAGTGTTATCCGAAACATCTCACTCAGAAGGTGACATTTGGGCATGGACCTAAGAGTTGATGGATATATGTAGACAGGTGTATAATATATAGGTAGACCTATATGTGTAATCTATGTGTAGACATGTATATATGTAGCCATCTATTAGTATACATGTAGACCAATATATATATTTGTACTCATTTGTGGAAAGAATTACCCAGGCAGAGGCAGTTGAATCAGCAAATGCAAAGGCCCTGAGGTAGCAGTGTACCTGGTGTACTCAAGAAGAGCAAGAAGGCCAGTGGGGTGATTCAGAGTGAACAAGAACAGGGGAGAGCAACAGGAGATGTGGGCCATTAAAAGGATTATAGTGTTCACTCTGAGGAAATGGGAAGTCTTACATTTTTAAAGGATCATTACAACTGCAATTTGAGAATCACCTATAAAGAGGCAAGTGTGGAGGCAAAGGGACCAGGAGTGGATCGATGATTCAATCTCGGCAACAGATAATGATGTCTTTATTTTGGATGGCAGAGGTAGTAAGAAGTGGTCAAATTCAGGGTATAATTTGAAGAAGGGGCCAGTTGAGTCTACTAATAGATTTAATAGACTGGATATGGGTTATGAAAGAGAGTGGTTAGGAATGACTATACAAGTTACTCTAGATCAAGTAGAATTTGTCTTAGAAATGCAAGGGAAACTTATAAATGATCTACTAAGTAGATCAAAAGAGAAAAACAATATGATTCTCTTACAAATGCAGGAAAAAATTTTCTTTTCTGCAAATTGAATCCAATTAATGTTCTGGGGTCAACAGCAATCTGAAC